GAGAGAGAGAGAGAAGAGAGGAGAGGAGAGAGAGAGAGAGAGAGAGAGAGGGGGGGGGAGAGAGGGGAGAAGGGGAGGGAAAGAAGGGATAGAGAGAGAGAGAGAGAGAGAGAGAGAGAGAGAGAGAGAGGAGTGAGTGAGTGAGTGAGAAGTGAGTGAGTGAGTGGAGAGGCAGGGAGGGGGAGAAGGGGAAGGGAAGGAGAAGAGAGAAGAGAGAGAGAGAAGAGAGAGAGAGAAGAGAGAGAGAGAGAGAGCAGATTGAGTGAGTTACAGAAATAATTAGATAAAAGAGAGAAAGAGAGAGAGAGAGAATTAGAAAAAAGAATTGTAGAAAAGAGAGAAAGAGACAGTGAGAGGGAAAAAAGAGAGGGATAGAGGGCGGGCGTGCGAGCAAGGAGCGAAGGGTTGCATTGTTGCCTGGTTGCATCATCGGCCGCGTTCAAGGTGAGGGGAGGCCTCTTAGGCAACCCCCACCCCTCCCCCACCCCCGGTAAGTAGGGTTCGCATCGGTCGTAATGGACGCCTAATGGTGAGGGGAGGGAGGGAGGGAAGGAGGGTGGGAGAGGGAGGGAGGGAGAGGAGGGAGGGAGGAAGAAGGTGGAGAGGGAAGGGAGGGAAGGAGGGGGAGAGGGAGGAGGAAGGAGGGGGGAGAGGGAGGGAGGGAGGGAAACCAGGTGTGACGTCATCGGCTGGAATGTGATGGACGATCGGCAACGATGGGAGGGAGAGAGGGAAGGGGAATGGAGAGGAGAGATGAGTAAAAGGAAGGAGAGAGAAGGTGGGAGAGGAAAAAGGAAGAGAGAGGAGGGAGGCAGGGGAGAGGGGAGAGAGAGCGAGGGAGGGAGAAGTGGAGGGAGGGAGAGAGGTCGAGCGGTTGGAGGGAAGGAGAGAAGAAGACGAAGGATGGGGAAAGGTGAGAGGGGGAGGATGGAAGAGATGGAGGGGAAGGTGGAGGGAAGGGAATGAGAGGATGGATGGGAAGGAGGCAAGGGAATAGAGGAGAGTAAAGGAGAATGAAGGAAAAAGAGCAAGCGGGTTGAAGCGGGGAAGTGAGAGGGGAGGAGGAAGGAGAGAGGGAAAGGGGAAAGAAAATGCTACTTCTCTGTTTAATATTTCTTCTTTTCTTTTCCTGTCCTCTGTTCCTCATTCTTCATTTCTGCAATCCCTGTTGTTCTCGTGTTCAATTTATTTTTATTTGTTTTTCTATATCTCTTATTAAAAAGGAAAAAAAATACAGACTGTAAAACAATGAAGCCAAAAAAAAACTAGAACTTTATTCAAATGCTCCAAGTTACAATTATCTCCCTGGGCACGCTTCGCAAAGTATTCACAATAATAACATACATTCAGACACAGAAATTGTTAACAGTTATCACACAGACAGATCAAACATCTACATACACATTATACTTCAAACATATTTTTCGCAGAGGAAGAGTAAGCAGAGGTGTATTTCATCACACTTTACGAAACATTAGATAAAATAACATACGCTAAAACGAAAGTAAGGAAAAATACTAACAGATAACATACAGGCAGAACAGATAGCCGCATGGACAGTATACATTATGCAAATTATTCACAACGAAAAGATGAAGAGTTAAAATGAAAATGCGAGAATATTAGCGGATAACATACGAACAGACACTCACATTATAAATCTCCTCCATGCAGATTATTCACAGCAAAAAACATCCAGTTGAACATTATACATTCCCTTCACTCAAAGACTATTCACAACGCAGATTATTCACACAAAATACATTTTTTTTCAGGCCAAAAATATTCACAGCGAAAGTACAGCCTCCACGCGGCCAAAAATAAATAAATGAATAAATAAAAGAAAAGAAAAAGAAAATAAAAAAGAAAAAAAAAGTCAAGTGGACACATTAACATTCCAATTCCTCTTGCCATTTGTCTTGCCTCCTTAAGCGAGTCATGATTAGCTGTAATTGCAGATAAGATTGTATTCTCGGAACGTGCTACTGAGCGCGGCCGAGAGAAATGATAAAGAAAAGAAATAGAGAGAGGAGGAAAAATGATGATTTACATGAACGCTCCCTTCGTGTTTACCTTGCGCGAAATCATAACAAACGGTGACGTCACTATTAACGAAATGGGGACGTCACAATGTCGTCATCTTATTATTGCCATCTCACATCTTTACATCCTTCCTTCCATCTTTCATTCCCTCTCCAGAAGAAAAGAAAAGAAAAAACAACAACATAGATCCACCTCTACCTTGCCCTCCACTTTTTTATTATCATCACCATCATCATCATCGTCAATCATCACCATCAGTAATCATCATCAATCATCATTATTCATTATCATCACCATCAACACCACCCTTATTATCATCATCATCAGTCACCATCACCACCACCATCATCATCATCACTATCACCACCACCACACATCATCATCACTATCACCACCACCACCACTACCATCATCATCATCACTATCACCACCACCACCATCATTATCACCATCCTCATCACCATCACGATCACCACTATGATTATCACCATTATGAGAATCCAGCGCCAATCCGAAGCGATGAAAACGACACGAGACTAAAAGGTGAAGGTCGGACGGACGGGTTCTGGGGCCGAAGCGGTTTTTCGCTGCGGTTGGACGCTAGCGTTTTACGCTACGTGGAGGGGAGGGGGAAAGGAGAGAGGAGGAGGAGGAAGAGGAGGAGGAGGAGAGGAGGAGGGGGAAGGGGAGGGGGAGGGAAGGAGGAGGAGAGGAGGGAGGGAGGAGGAGGAGGAGGAGAGGAGGGAGGGGAGGGAAAAGGAGGAGGAGGAGGAGGAGAGGGAAGGAGGGGGAGGGGAGGAGGAGAGGAGGAGGGGAGGAAAGGAGGAGAGGAGGAGGGGGAGGAGGGGAGGGGAAAGGAGGAGGGGGAGGGAGGGAGGAGGAGGAGGAGGGGAAGGGAGGGGAAGGAGAGGAGGAGGAGGAGGAGGGGGGGGAGGAAGGGAAGGAGAGGGGAAAGGGGGGGGAAAAGGGGGAGAGAGGAGGGGAGAAGGGGAGGGAGGGGAGGAGGGGAGGAAAAGGAGGAGGAAGGAGGAGGAGGAGGGAGAGGGGGAGGGGAAAGGAGGAGGAGGAGAGGAAAGGGAAAAAAGGATGAGGGGAGGGGAGGAAAAAGAGGAGGAGGGGAGGGGAGAAGAGGGAGAAAAGGAAGAGGAGAGGAGGGGGAGAAGAGAAGAAAAGGAAGTGAAGAGGAGACAGAGAAGAAGAAGGAGGAGAAGAAGAAAGGAAGAGGGGGAGGAGAAGGATGAGGTAGGAGCGTGTGCGGGTGCGGTTTTTCGATTAAAGGGGGAGGGGAGGGGACGGCTTCTCCCACCCAGAGGTCGTTGGGTCTGTTGGCCGAGGAAAGTTGGGGGCGACGGGGAGGGGGGGAGTGGAAGTAGGGAAGGGAGAAGGTGGAGGAGATGAATGTGTCATAAGAGGAGAGGAAGATGAAGAAATAGAAGAGGGATGAAAAGGAGAAAAAAAAAAAATATATATATATATAAAAGAGAGGATATCATGACATGACAAGAGAGAAGAGAGAGAGAGAGAGAGAGAGAGAGAGAGAGAGAGAGAGAGAGAAGAGAGAGAGAGAGAGAGAGAGAGAAGAGAAGGGAGGGGAGAGAGAGAGGAGAGAGAGAGAGAGAGAGAGAGGGAGAGAGAGAGGGAGAGAGAGAGGAGAGAGAGAGAGAGAGAGAGAGAGAGAGAGAGAGAGAGAGAGAGAGAGATCTAGCTTTTATGAGAGTTAATAGAATAGACAGAGAGAAAAAGGGGTAAAAAGAAAGAAATAATAGAAATATAAAGAAGATGATAAAAATGGAAATAGAGAAATAAGTTGAATCGTGCATGAAAAACCACGAGGTTAGAAAAATAAAATAAAACGGATAGATGTAAACAAACAAATAAAAATAATAACAACGAACATAGACAGAATATGAGAATTGACAGACAGGAGAAATAGATAAGTGAGAGAATAACGGAAAAAAAGAAGACAATGATAATGTGACGCAGTGCTGATTGTAAAGTCAAAGGCGTTATCGGAATTCAGAAAAGCCGATTGATAAAGGCCTTTTCGTCGGCGCGGCGGAAGAATGCGGAAAATGGGCCTCGGTTCGACGCATTTTCTCGCTCGTCTTGGCTTTGTTTACACATTTTATTATCATTGTTATTGTTATTATTATTGTTATTATTATTATTATCATTATTATTATTATCATTATCATTATCATTCTTATTATCATTATTATTATTATTATTATTATATTATTATTATTGATAATAATAATTATATTATTATTATTTTTTATATTATTATTATTATTATTATATTTTATATTATTATTATTATTATTATTATATTATTATTATTATTATTATTATATTATATTATTATGATTATGCTATACTACTGCTGGCTACTACTACTGCTACTACTACTACTACTGGCTACTGCTACTACTGACTTACTACTGCTACTACTACTGCTACTACTACTACTGCTACTACTACTGCTACTACTACTGCTACTATACTGCTACTACTACTACTACTACTACTATACTACTACTACTACTACTACTACTACTACTACTACTACTACTACTACTACTATACTACTACTACTACTACTACTACTACTACTACTACTACTACTACTACTACTATTGTTACTATCACCATCCTCATTACTACTACTATTACTACTACTACTACTATTACTGCTATTGTTATTATTATTATAACAATAATGATTATTATTATTATCATTATTATTATTATCGTCATTATTATTACTATTACTTTTACTATTATTATTGTTCTTATTGCAGTCACTACCACCGCTACAATATCATCAACTCTCTCCTCCCCCTCTCACCACCACAACCCCCCACCCCCACCCCACCACCACAATCACCCCCCACCAATCTCCTTTCACGACAGTCCCAAAACGACCCCTAATTGCTCCCACCTTCTCTCCCGCACAGGTGAAGACCCGAGTCGCCGAGGTGTACAGCCAGGTGTGCTCCTACCTGCAGCAGCTGGGCATGCAAGACACTGATCTCTTCGGATTGGCCACTGTCATCGGTAAGTGCAGTGAGAGGGAGGGAGGGAGGGAAGGAGGAGGGAGAGGGTAGAGGGAGGGAGAGGAGAGAAGGATAAAGAGAGAGAGGGAGGAAGTAAAGAGGGAGGGAGGGAGGGAGAGAGAATGTGGGAGGGATGAAAAGAGAGAGAGAGAGAGAATGAGAGAGTGTGAGTGAGTGAGGGTTGTGGGCGTTGACATCCCTGGGCGCTACCTGCCGGGGAGGGGGGGGTCAACCCTTCACTCTTATCAGCTTATTTTCTCGTGACGTCATAGCACTTCATATCTCGTTAGTACTTTATTACAATTACAGTTACTCCAGGAATTTCTCACAGGCTACCAGCATTTTGTAATTTTTCTCGAAGATTACATTTTCTTCTATACTGACAGTATGGTAGTACTCCTTTATGATAGTAACAATTCATTACCGTTAACAGTGTCTTGTATATATTAACAGTGTATCTGCGTTAGTAGATTTTCCTTCGCATTAACAGTATTCCCAGCAGTGCTTTTATGCTCGTGTCAGCTTCCTCCCGGTTGGCAGTGTAATAGCAGTTCTTTCCCGTTCGCAGTGTCTCCAGCAGTGCCTTTATGTTTGGGAGCAGTTCTTTTATCAGTATTTCCAGCTGTGTCTTATCGTTAGTATCAGTTCTTTCCTGTTAACATTGTCCCCTTTAGCGCATTTTTTCCTGCTAAACAGTGTCTTTCATAGCTACATTTCCCTTTAGTTGCTTGTCTCCTTGTTACCAACACCTTTTTTTTTTCTTTACTTGTGTTGTCAAGGTCCCTTTTCTGCAGTCTGGCGTCGCTCGTGAGGAGGTAGTGAGGCAACGATTGAGACAAAGAATGAGGCAAAGAATGAGGCAACGATGAGGCAAAGAATGAGGCAGGCGACGGTGAGATTACAATGAGGTCCGCAGCGGGCTTGAGTCACCAAGGCGCCGGCACTGTCGCGCTGCCTTGTTTCTTGGGATAAGGTGCATGCCTGCGTTATCAGATAAGCGATTCCCTCTGGCGATAGTGGCGCTACTACAGCTCATCAGGCGGCCGATACGAGGCTATTAAGGGCGGGCTTGGTAGGGGGAAGGGGCTGGGAGGAGGGGAGCTGAGGGAGGGGAAAGGGGGGGGAGAGGGAGGGGGAGGGGAAGGAGGGGAAAGGGCTGGGGAGGAGGAGCTGGGTAAGGGGGGGAAGGGGGGAAAAGGAGGGAGGAGAATGGAGCGGGAAGGAAGGGGGGGGAGGGGATGAGGACTGGGGTAGGGAAGAGGTGGGAGGGGAAGGAGATATGAGTAGGAGGAAGGGAGGATTGAAGGTAAAGGAATGGGGAGGAGGAAGGGAGGATTGAGGAGGGGAAGTGGGTTGGAGAGGAGGAGAGAGAGGCCTCACCCCGAATTATGAGTCAGAACCGTGTCACGTCCAGTCAAGGCTTACAGTAAGGCCAAAGCCATCCTGAAAGGTTTATCTCAGGTTTACGAAGAGATAAAGAAGAAAAATAAAGCTCAAAAGGGTCATCTAGAGAGCTGACATATTGCACGTTAAGGTCAATGAGCCGCTTCGGGGAATACAATTTCTGGGTCAGGACAAGGCCGGGGGGAAGGGGCGTGGGGGCGGGCGGGCGTGGGGGCTGGGGGCGGCGTGGGCGTTAACTGTCTTCGAAAGTTTCCGATAATATCTGCTACAGGATCGTGCCGAGATCAGGGTGACTGAGGGCTACAGACATTACGCAGAAAGGTGGGCGTGGAAGGTGGGCGTGGCGTTGTTTACACAGAGAGAAGAGAAGAAAAACGCAATACGAGCAATGTATGAGAAACTTATTTTAGTTTCGATTATTTTAAGAAGAGAAGAAAAAAGAGAAAAATATGCTAATCTCTCTTCCTGAATTGAGGTGGTCACTCGTTCACCTTTTAAACCTCAGAGAAGGGAGGGGAAAGGGAGGAAGGGAAGGGAGGGTTAAGGAAAGGAAAGGAAAGGAAAAGAAAGGAAAGGAGGGGAGGGGGAAGGGAAAGGAAGGGAAGGAAGGAAGGGAAGGGAAAGGGAGGGGAGTGGAGTGATGGGGTGAAGACACATAGTAAACCACTATATAGTCATTATATTAAAGTGTATATTGGGCCAATTTTTTATCAAGAGAGAGAGAGAGAGAGAGAGAGAGAGAGAGAGAGAGAGTAGAGAGAGAGAGAGAGAGAGAGAAGGAACAGACAGACAGACAGACAGACAGATAGACAGACAGAGTCAGAGACAGACAGGCAGAGAGACAGACAGACAGATAGGCACAGATAAAGAGAAACAGAAAAGAAAGATAGGGAAGGAGAAAGAAAACGCGCGAATCCCTCGCCGCCGGGAGCAAGGTGGCCATTTCTCTCTCCTGGAACTTGGGTCAACCTCCTCCTCCTCCTCCTCCCCTCCTCTCTCTTCTCCCTTCTTCCTCTCCTCCTTCTCCTCTCCTCCCTCCTCTCCTCCTCTCCTCCTCCTCCTTCCTCTCCTTCCTCTCCTCCTCCTCCTCCTCTTCTCCTCCTCTTCCTCTCCTCCTCCCTCCTCCTCCTACTCCTCTCCTCCTCCTCTCCCTCCTCCTCCTCCTCCCTCCTCTCCTCCTCCTCCTCCTCCTCCTCCTCCTCCTCCTCCTCCTCCTCTCCTCCCGAGTCAAATTTCCTTCGCCCACGATAAGGAATCTCTTCTCCTTTGTCTCGTGAATGGCGGGGAGCCGTAACATCTTCGGTTTTAATTATGTGGGTGAAAGGAAAAGTTCGTTTTTTTTCTTTTTTCTTTTCGGGGTTGAAGAGATCGGTGGGATGGTGTCTATGAGCGAACTGGTGAGGGGGGAGGAGGAGGGAAGGAAGGAGGACGGGGAGATGGGTGAAGGGTGCTCTCTTCTCTCCTCTCTCTTCCCTCTTCTCTCTTTTCTTCTCGTTCTTCTTTCTCCTTTCTTTTTCCTCTCACTTCTCTCTTCTGTCATATCTTCTTTCTCCTCCACCTCTCTTTCTATTCGTTTCTCTTCTTTGCTCTATCCTCTTTCTTTTCTCCGCTATCTTCCGTCACTCCTTTGACCTGCTTCTTCCTTTCTCTCTACTCTGTCCTCTCTACTACCCCTTCTCTCCCTTCCCCTTTCTCCTATTTCGTCTCACTTCTCTCCTCTCTCCTTTCTCCTATTTCTTCTCGCTTCTCTCCTCTCGCTCGACACGAAGATAATGAAAGAAAGGGAGGAACAAATACGAAAATGACTCGTTAGAGGGAAATGACTGAGATGCAATGAGTGAAAAAAAAAAAAAAAAAAGATGAAAAACAAAATGAACCAAAATGGAATAAGAAGGAGAAGAGAGAATGAGATCCAGTTTAAACCAAATCTCGGCGAAAAAGAACCCACAGAACCGCAAAAAAAGAAGAAAGAAAAAAAGGCATCATAGAGAAAGTAAAGACGACAGAAGAGTTTCGATGTGCGCATGATTTGGAAGAGGTTCGCCCGAGAAAATGGAATCATAAGGGAAAGAAACAACAACAAGAGGTTCGAATTCCGCGCAATTTAGATGTTCGTCCAATTGGAGGTTCTGAACAAAAAGAAAAGTTATTAAGAAAGAAGAAAAGAAAGATAAAGAAGATGAAAGAGAGAAGAAAGACGAAAGGGATGCGAAAGAAAAAGATTTTCAAGAAGGAAGGCTGGAGAACCGCCAAGTCGCGCGGGACATAAACGCCAAGAAAAGGAATCGAAGAGGAAAACCCGCGTAGAAAAGGATCGAGTGCGCGTAGTTTTATAAGAGGCTCGGCGGATAGACGCTGGCTAGGCCTATCGCCGGGAGGTGGGCTAGAGGGTGGGCTGTCGGTTGGAGCGGGAGGGTCAGGGAGTGGGCGGGAGTGGGCCGGGCGATGGGCCAGAGGGCAGGCCAGGAGAGAGGGCTAATGAACACAGCTGGTGAGACAAAGAAGAGATCTGTTATTAAAGCTACGCCAACATGCTCCGTTCTGTGTGGAGTTCGCAGGGCCCGGATGTCAGCAGGAAATGATCGGGGAGCGGAATTTTGATATCCTCGACGAAGTGTTGTTGTCGGGTCGAATTCAGCTCGAGGAAATGCCTCTTTCCACCTTTCCTCCTCGGCTCCCTCCTACTCCTCCGTGGCCCCCTCCTCTCCTCTCCTCCCCCTTCTCTGCTCTCTCCTCCCCAGCCTCTTCCCTCTCCTCTCCATCCACTCGATTCCTCCCTCCCTTGCTCCCCTCTCCCCTCCCCTCCTTTTCTCTCAAACCTCTCCTCCTCCCTCCTCTCTCTCCTGCCCTCCTTCCCCTTCCTACCCCCTCCTCTCCTCTCCTCTCTCTTTCCATCCCCCCTCCCCCTCCCCCACTCGTCCTGCTCCTTCCCCTCTCCCCATCTTTACCCTTCCCCTCCTTTCCTTTTCTCTCTCCTCGCCTCCCCTGCAAAGTCTCTTTTATCAGCCCTTCCTCTAAGCTCTATTTCCTCTATTTTATATCTTCTCTTTCTCTGTGCCCTTTATGTCCTTCCCTCCTTCTCCCCCTCTTCCCCCTCATAATTCCTCATTATATGCCTTCTCCCTCACTTTCCATTCCGTTGTCTCGCTAGTGAAGTATAAAACTTTTTAAACACAAGATAAGAGTAGGGAATATGACATGAAAATAATACACGATAAAAAAAATAAGATAACATACGAAATGAAGATGCAAAATAAAGACAGATCATGAAGATATGAAGAAAATACACAAATAACTGTAATGTTCATATGTAAATTTTAGTGCTTGCTGGTCAATAACAGGTTCCACATCTGTTCTGCCTAAAAATGTGGCCTGATTGATGTTGTTCTGTTTCCCATAAAAACGACCACAATAACAGTGTTGTGGGCATTTCTTTTGTTTTCCCTGTTCGCATTCGTATAAAAACAAAAGAAGGATACACGAGAATGACAGAAGAGGAGGAGAGAGGAGGAAAGGTAGTGAGGGACGAAGAGAGATAATGGATTGAGATAAAAAGGAGAATATGTAAAATGAAGAAAGGGAAGGGAGGAATAAAAA